TGACCACAGTCACCCTGACCACAGTCACCCTGACCACAGTCACCATGACCGCCAGCATGGCCTGTGCTACCATCACCACTGTCATCACCACCGCCACCACGACCATAGCCACCCTGACCACAGCCACCCTGACCACAGTCATCCTGACCACAGCCACCATGACCACAGCCACCATGACCACAGTCACCATGACCACTGCCACCATGACCACAGTCACCATGACCACTGCCACCATGACCACAGCCACCATGACCACAGCCACCATGACCACAGCCACCATGACCACCAGCATGGCCTGTGCTACCATCACCAGTGTCATCACCACTGCCACCACGACCACAGCCACCATGACCACCGCCACCACAACCACAGCCACCATGACCACTGCCACCATGACCGCCAGCATGGCCTGTGCTACCATCACCACTGTTATCACCACCGCCACCACGACCACAGTCACCATGACCACCAGCATGGCCTGTGCTACCATCACCACCGCCACCATGACCACAGTCATCATGACCACAGCCACCCTGACCACCGCAACCATGACCACCAGCATGGCCTGTGCTACTGTCACCAGTACCACTGTCACCACCACCAGCAGCATCACCACCATGACCACCAGTGTGACCGTCACTACCAGCCTCACCACTACTGCTGTCTTCACCACTACTGCTGTCTTCACCACCACCACCATCCCCATGGCTACCACTGCCATCACCACCATCACTGTGACTACATCACCATGACTACCAAAACCAGTATAATCACCATGGCTACCATCCTCCCCACCACTACCGTCATCTCTGCCTTTCTCACTACCACCACTGACGTCTGTCCCTGTCTTCAGCATGATTGCTCCGACCGGCCCCGATCATCGTTTGGGGTATCTGCAGGTGGGAGGAGTCCCCGCCACACTTGGTTCTGTAGCTGCATCATGTGCCCTGTACACCTCTGGTCACCCTCTTCATCTTGTAGAGCAGCCTACCCGCCCTCACCTTGGAGAGCAGGGCTGAACCTTATCTGACCTGTCATTCCAGAACTGCCCAGGGTCTGTCTGCTTCAGAGAAGGTTCTGGATGGTACTGGTGTGGCCTTGCTGTTGGTCTTTCGTAGGTTTGCCTGGGTTTGGGGGGCAGTCACAGATTCAGAAGCCACAAGGAAGTTCGTTTCAAATAGAGAGTGGGCAGGGACTCAGGGACATTTGATTGCATTTACAGAGGACCATGCCCCGAGGTGGGCCTGGCAGGCTGGGTGGAGTGTGACAGCATCGATGAGACCCCCAGGGTAGGAGGGTGGAGGACAGAGCTGGGAGCTTTGACTCCAGAGATGCCATCACCCTAGACAGAGCCAGCGCCAGGGTGCTGCCCTCAGCCTGTCCAGGCTCAGAGCCTGTAGGGCACCCTGAGCTTGTCCACTTCCTGTCTCCCCACACCCAGGAGCCTCCACCCGAAATCTCTTCTCTTC